TTTGATTGGTTAATATATTAAAAATGCATTTAGAGAGAATATTTTTATATATATAATTTGAAAAATAACCTGCATTTGGAGAATATAGAACATGTATTTATTTTATAAGTCTTGACTTGGGACCAGACTATTTTCATGCATATAGAGAGAAAATGCACTTAGAGAACATGTACTTAGAAGGAGTCAACTATATATTAAATTGATATAATATAGTCATATATAGTCTAGAAATTAAAAAAGATCAAGACAAAGAACTTACAATAGAGAAGCATCTTTTTTAAAAAAATATAACTGAAGTTACAAAAAGTACGAAATTAAATACACAAAGAGAAAGGATGCTACAACCTCAAAGCAGTTAAACTATAAATACTAAAATAATTATTGATACTATAGAAATTCTTAAAAGAAAAAAAGATAAAAAAAGCATTTTGAAAAATAGTAAAAAAGAAAAAAATGTTAAAATTAGATTAGCAGAAATAAATTTAAATGAAAGTAAAATAGATATTTTGCAAGAAAATATTACAACAAATGCAAAGAAAAAAGCAACTCTTCTGTATACAAAATATAAACATGTTAACTATAGTACAGAGATTGTTAAAGAATAGGCCTTATTAGTTAAAAAAAGAAAAAGATAAATAGCAAAGTTGCAAACTTTAAAAAACTAGAAAAAAAAAAAGATATTTTGAGCACTAAAGAATAAATTAGCACATGACTAACTAAGAGTATATAGTAATAAATAGTGTTCAAAAATAAGCTAGCTTATCATGGCTTGCTGTGGTTTAATGCAGCTTATCACATGATAAATTCGAATTTATCACCAAGCTATACGATAATATCGAATTTATTACATAATAATTTCGAAATTATCACATAGCTTGGTGATAAATTCAAATTTATTACATAATAAACTGCATTAAGCCGCAGCAAGCTATGATAAGCTGGCTTATCTTTAAACACTAGTAATAAAAGATGAAGCAAAAAGAAAAAAAAATTAGAACTATATATGACTATTTGAAACCTATTCTGCATAGCAAATGCAGCAAAAATTAAGAAATGTTTAAATCAATATAGTATAACAGAGGTATTAGAATAGTATAGTCTTATAAAATCTAAAGCTACATATGTAAAAATTAGTTTCTTGCTTGTTTTTCTTTTGTTTTTTTAGTTATTTTTTTGTTTTACTACCTTTTTCTTTCTTGTAGGTTTGTATTTTGCTAGAGTATTAGAATGGTATCGGAAATAGAGATTCAGAAACCAAAACTAGTACAAAAAGGTAAGTACTAGTTTCTTGCTTGTTTTGTTTTTGGTTTTTCAGTTATTTTTTTAGTTTACTGCCTTTTCTTTCTTGTAAGTCATGTTTCACTAGAGTATTGGAATGGCATCAAAAATAGAGATTTGAGAACTGAAACTAGTACAAAAAGGTAAATACTACATCAGCAAAAATAAATAGGCGTAAACCTCTGCAAGTTTTTACGCGAGCGTAAACTTACGAAAATTTACGAT